TGAATCAAACGTTAAAAAAAAAAACTAATCAAAAAATATCTGTGTGAACAAAACTAATAAAAAAAAAAAAAAAAAAAAAAACTAAAACAAACAAAAAACAAAAAATTTAGCCTAGCCGAGCCGAGCCATAAAGCCATTTGGCTCGGCTCAGCTCTGCTCAGCTAACGGCTTATGAAAAGTAAAGAAGGAAGTACCTCTTTTATTTATGGTAGAAAATAACCAAAATAATTAAAATTACACATGCTGTAGTTGTATGATTGGTTTTGGGTCGGTGGTGATGAAGATGGCGATGGCGAATTTTCTGTTTGCTTCTTAACGTCATCTATAGTGTAAAATCGACTATTGTCTTAGTGGGACTGGTTGTGGCGGTGGCTGTTGACGTTTGGGTGAGTAGCAATGGTTGTAAGCGTTGGGGTGGGTGGGGTGAAGAAGAAGAATTTTCTTTTTTTTTTAATTATTATTATTATATTTTTTGTGAAAATTTTAAAGTTACTATTTTGCTCTTATTACATTTGGTCAACTTTTACTGTTTCGGTCAACTAATAGATTTCCATCCATTTGGACTTCAGCTGCAACATTTTTAAAGGTTTGATACCGTTGATGGTACAAATAAAATGTTTGGACAAAGTCTGCTATTTAATGAAATATTTGGTACCGCGACTACAATTTTCCCTAAAACTATAGACATTTAAAAAAAAAAAAAACCCTGAAATACACAGAAAAAATTTACGGAGGAAACAGAATAGAAACATCACATTGATTGATTCATTCAATCTCAAGAAAAAGTCTTACGTACATAGATGTAACCAATAATGCCGGCCTCTTCTTCAACATTTTCAATTATTATTTCTGCAAATCCAAATCATCAAACTCTATTGAAATACCCATAAGTCTGAGATCCATTTAAACCTTGACCCTCTCTAAAACAAGATGAAACTTTCTCTATTTATTTTTGTATTGTTCTTCACAGTTACTCCAATTTCAGCCCATTTCTTCCCCAACATTACTTCAATCCCAACTTCTTTGATCCCAAATACAACACTATGGGACGGTTTTAGCCAGTTTCTGGGATCCCACAAAGGTCAGAAAGTAAACGGATTAGCAAAACTCAAGAACTACTTTCAACGATTTGGGTATATTAGTTCGTCTTCATCAGCAAATTTTACAGATGATTTTGATGAAATTCTTGAATCAGCAGTCAAAATGTATCAGATTAACTTCAATCTGAACAACACTGGTGAACTGGATGTACAAACATTGAAGCACATTGTACTACCCAGATGCGGAAATCCTGATGTTATCAATGGCACTTCAACGATGAATTCTGGTAAACCCCAGACGAATTCTACGATTCATACAGTAGCGCATTACTCGTTTTTCCCTGACAAACCGAGCTGGCCGGCGAGTAAGACTGAATTAACATATTCATTCTTGCCGGATAATCAGCTGACGGAGAATGTCAAAAGCCTATTTGGACGAGCATTCGAACGTTGGTCGGAAGTAACGCCGTTAACGTTCACGGAAACGTCGTCATTCCTAAGGGCGGACATCAAGATCGGATTCTTCAGTGGAGATCATGGCGACGGCGAGGCGTTCGACGGCATTTTGGGGACGTTAGCACATGCATTTTCGCCGCCATTGGGGCTGTTTCATTTGGACGGTGACGAGAATTGGGTGATGGACGGTGATTTTATCAATGCTTCGCCACTATCAGCTGTGGATCTGGAGTCGGTTGTGGTTCATGAAATCGGGCACATACTCGGGTTGGGTCATAGCTCCGATGAAGCGGCTATTATGTACCCGACTATTTCTTCGGGTATGAGGAAAGTGGAACTTACCAATGATGATATTATGGGGATCCAGCAGCTATATGGATCGAGTACAAATTCCAATTACTCCGACCCGATTCTCACTCCTAGAAATGAGAGGGATTCAAATGGGGCACATTATTTGGTTTGTTTATTTTGGAGCCATGGAATTATATTGGCTATTGGATTTTTCTTGTTTTTGTAATTTAGTTTCTCGTCTTTCTGCTTTATTCTCAGAAATTTCAAAATGATGATAATTTTTGTGTATCACTAAGCCCTTATTTGGTGCGCATTTTTCCGAAAATGAGAATGAAAAATTCTGCCGTTATACAGTGAACCTGGCCCACTTTGACAGTCATGTTTGATTGTGTTGCTTGAATCAGTTGAAAAATTTTGTGAAAATACCATGTTGCCCCTCACTTGTTTTATGCCAATTTTTTTTAAAGGACAATTATGACATTTCAAATGCCAAAAGACGGCAGATTTTTGTGTTTTCAAATATTGCGACTACGTCACCGTACTGTTGCAACAGTAGCATTTTTTTATTAAAATGAGGAATTAATATGCGTCAAACAGAGTCTAACTAGTTAGTACCTACACCTACACAAGTTGGATACAACTTTTATCAATTATAGTTTTGAGTGAAATTCCTTTTGTGCAATAAGCCTCTTCCAATATTAAATGTTGCACATATTCTCAATAGAATGCTTAATCTCGGATGAGATTGTCGATTGATATGACCATTTTTTCACAATGACCTTTGAGTAAAACAACAAAAAAGAAAAGTAATTTTTTTAAAAAGGAAATCACTATCCATTTCACCCCCAAGTTGAACGTTGAGAATTTGAAGAATGTTATAAATTTGAAAATCTCTCGTACCATAAATCGATTCTTCAAGGTTTCGTAATCATCTCCATCTCCATATTCAAAGTTTCTGCATTTTATTTGGTTAAATTCTTAATTTTTTGTTTATAATATCAAATGGATAATTTGCTTTTAGATTTAATATTCAAAGATTTAAACAAATTCTTTTTTTATTGTGTTAAAGAAATTGAAATCTATGAAAAAACCACAATAGACCTGTTCTTTGTTAACATGGTCTGGGATGCCTGGAAACAAACCACCCAAATAGGTTTTGGGGAGTTTGTCCAAACCTCTAGAACTCGTCTGGGAGGTCTGAAAACAGACTCTCCAGAAGTCTCTGAAAAAAATCCTTTTAAAATTTGAAATGAAATGTGTTTTTATCTTATAATGTTGAACACATCATTGTAGTGAATAATTAATAAGTTATGCTTATATGGTGATTGGAGGGTTTGACCATACCATTTCTAAAAAGCGGCCATTTGCCAATGATGATTTTATGGGGATCCAGGAGCTATATGGATCAAGTACAAATTCTAATGACTCCGACCCGATTCTCACTCCTGAAAATGAGAGGGATTCAAATGGGGGCACATAATTTCGTTTGTTCATTTTGGAGCCATGGAATTTTATTGGCTGTTGGATTATTCTTGTTTTGTTATTTGGTTTCTTTTGTTTTTTACTTTATTTTCCAAAATTTCAAAATGATGATAGTTTTTGTATATCACTAACTAGTTAGTAGCTACATCCTCACAGATTGAATACAACTTTTGTCGATTATAACTTGAGTGAAATTCCTTTTGTTCAACGAGCCTCTTCGAATATTAAATGTTGGACATATTCTCAATAGAATGCTTAATCTTAGATGAGATTGAAAGTTTGTTTGGCAAATATAACCCCTTGACACAATAATAGGGCGGTGTAGAGTGCAAATAATTTTTGTTGACAATGATAGAAGAGTTTCGCACAAACCCCAGTTAATGACTCCTAGATAAAATTAATGGTTGCAATGATATTTGCTGCCTTGATCATCGTAGAAATCGATGCCATCAATTCACCGAACCACGTTCAAGGTTGGTAGAGCTCAATAGACACGAGAGCCCAACTAGCCAAAACCAGAAGAAGCTCATCACGGTTGAACTCGATCATACCCAGTTAAGCTCACATTCGATCAAGCTCAAACTCATTCGACCTAACTCGATGTTGTGGCTCATCAACCATTCGACCAAGCTCAAACACCATTCAATTGAGTATCGAACTTAACCCCATTCTGAATCAACTTCAATAGATCGTGGTGCTCCGTCTCGACCACCTACTTTTTCTAATAACCCTCGCCTCTTCGTGTCTTTTTCGTCCATTGGTGGTTGAGGTTTTGCCCTAGGGACTATGAGTATTAAGCCGTTTGAGTTCCACTAGACTAATTGAATCATCGCCATTCTTAGGAAGCCTTACAATATTGTCGAAAGGGCCCTGTGAAAATAGGTTGGGCTCTCCTTAATTAAACTCGAACCGATCTCTTTCTAAGTTAAGATCTCGAGTGTTCCCTTCATCCCAAAATAGTCTTTGTGCCAAATCCGACCACGTGTCCCCATAGGTGCTCAATATTTAGTGACGTGTCATTCTATCCTGAGAAGAGCTNGTGTTCCCTTCATCCCAAAATGGTCCTTGTGCCAAATCCGAACACGTGTCCCCATAGGTGCTCAATATTTAGTGACGTGTCATTCTATCCTGTGTAGAGCTTCTTCCACATGTCGTTGGTGAGTGCCTACATATAGGCTTCATTAGATTTAAGGTAGATTCCATTGAAACCAAAAGCAAAAATACTTTATATTAAATCGCCTTGAGCATCACGGGAAAGAAAATTCGAGATTCAATCAATTCGGCCGTATCTAATTGGAGAATGGGTAGTTATAGATGCAAGCTTGTGGGTAGAGGTGTCAAGACGGACGGGCCGGCCATGACCCGTGAAAATCGGCCCGTGAAAACAGGGACCGCGGGTCGACCAGTGACTCGTGTGGGCGGGTCACGGGCCAAAAAGTTGTGACCCGCT